ATATGTAAGGTTGGGAAGTTATTATAAATATGTCCTGTTTCATAGAATCATGGAATCACAGAATGGCTTGGGTTCAAAGGGACCTTAAAGACCATCCAGTCCCAACTCCCCTGCCATGGGCTGGGACACCTTCCATTAGACCAGGTTGTTCAAAGACCAACCAACCTGGCCTTAAACGCTTCCAGGCATGGGGTGCATGCAATTCCTCTGGGGAGGTTTCCCCTACTTAATGCTAAAATGATGCACAGTTTCTGTCCATTGATGTGTAAAGTCCCATCTTCCTCTCTTAAAGATGAATAAATGGCAGTATAATCTGATTTAATGACTTCTGTCTGACCAAAGGGACATGGAGGTAAATTTTCCAGTCACTAGATGGAGAATGTGACTATGCCATCCTGGACAACAGTGATGTTCCTGCAAGGGTTTGACATGGTCTTGGTGGTGATCTGAGCTGTTAGGTAGTGTTGGCTCATCCAGCAGGGAGCAAAACAGAGAACAGCTATTCAGGAGACTCCAGGCTGTAATTTCAGAGTTCTGTAGAGTAAGAAGCCATCACATTCACTCAGTCCCTCCTTAACAGCAGAACTGGCAGGCAAGATCAGACCAATTTTCCACAAAGTCCAGAGCCTTGAGTTAATTTCCTGGTCACACCTGGCAAGGCTTCACTTTTACACAGGAGGGAGGAGAAGTGCATGCCTTGAAGCTGCCAGTCCAGAAACAACAGAATGTTCCTGAACCCATGTGCTTCCCCTAGGGTGTATGTGGATGGAATGGACTGAATCCCCCACAAAACAAGATATTCTGAGCTGATACAATACCTGTCTTCCCACTCTGGGGGCTGATCATTTGCTGCTGATCACTTCAGAAGTTATCCAAGTTACTTGGATGAGTAACTTCTTCAGGTAATAGAACAGCCCACGCTATCAAAATTTAAGGACCAATGCTTAAAGGCATTCTATATTTTTAAATGACTTTACAGTGATTGCTTACATTTCACAGTAAATAGCTGCTGTTTAGACCAGAGAGTTTTCTCTCACATAAAACAATAAGTGCCTGTTTCTGGGGGATGGAGTATTATATGAGACAATCACTAGTACAAAATGACACAAAAATTAACTGTTGCCTGGTTAGCAATGATAAAGAATGCACATGTGTTGTAAAAACAGACAGGATACCCATAGATGCTATATAAAATATGTCTTTGAAAACACATTTTCTAAAAATTTAAACAACTGTTGGCATAGCTCATAATTTTAAATGTGGTTCAAAAATGCTCTAAAGTTAAAGTTTGCAGAAATCTTCTGGGCAAGAAACCCCTTGTTTTGAAAAATGAGTTAAGCACTGATGTTTAATAAAAAAAATTAATACATCAATGCTTAAAGACTGTATACCTAAAGAGTGGATTAAAGGAAATGACACAAATATGGATAAGGAAAGCAGTCAGTACTGATAAAGGTACTAAAAGCTACTCAAAACATACTCAGAAGAAAACAAGCATCCTTTCAAATAACACACATGCAAATGGCAAAAATGGAAAGCAGTGGTTTAAAAACATTCATTTTACATCATATTCCATGTTTTAAATCAGAGAAGAAGGGGTATCCAGCCTACTTGATGATGATGGAGAATGCTGCTATTGATATCCAAAAGGGTGATGGGGAATTGTTTGATAAAGCACACATTCTATGTTGCATAAAGAGAAATAATCTATATGTGAAAGGGAAGTAGGAAAGGACCTTCCTGAAATGATCATTTCATTTTGGACTGATATTGGAAAGTAGTGACAATTGCAGTGGCAGTTCAGAATACCAAAATGCGAGTCAAAAAGGTATACAGATATCTTGAAAAATAAAATATCTACCTCAGGGACTTGGTAAAACTAGTGAACTCGTGAGCACAACCAGTGTAATTACAACTCTTAAGTGAATGCAGGAGGTTTTCAAGCTGGTTTGACTGATATGAAAACAGAAGACAGCAAACTAAAACCCCCAGTTAAACCATTGCTAGCAGCAGGCTCTGCCAGGAAGTATTTAAAGGCTGAGAAGAAGATATAAAATTGTTCAAGACATGAGTAATAATAAAGAAAAAGTTTTTGAACCTACATATCACACATTTATAAGGCATGAGGAGTTTTTGATTTACAAGTGCTTTCCAAGTTCCCAAATGTGCTAAATCCTTAGCTTAGAATAAACCTATGGTTTAACAATCTATAAACTCTGCTCCATCCATGGGAATAGATTAGGAATAGAGATTGGAGTTGTAGGAAACTATGGCATTGAGACAAGACATCCTCATGACCAAGTCAGAAAGAGGAGGCCCTTGTCAGGTATTCTAGGAGCTGTCTGACATGGGACACCCTGAGAGGTGGACCATGGTGCATATGTGCATTTTACCATATGACAAGCAAAGAAAAACACTTCCAGGTGAAGGTACCTATGATTGGGTGCAGTACCCATGTGAGGTGGCTCTGCTAATCCTACATCAGAATTGTGTCATGCCCCTCTCAATAGCTTCTCCTAAAATCTTCACATCCCTAGTTATTGAGGCAGGTCAAGAAGGATAATAAGGTCAAAGAGAGGAATTTTGAAGATACTGAATGATTCAAGGGTCTGAAAGTCAACATAAAGAACTTTGTTGAGAAAATGTAGTGTTGAAGTGGGGCTCTAATTTTTTGTCTATGGGGTGGTGGTTTAAATTACACTGTAATGTGTTTTGACTGTAAGGCATTGCTTCTGACGGACTTCTCACTCAAGAGATCCAAAGCAGGTGGTTTGCCTCAACTCAGCTCTCCATGAGAGTGCAATCAGTCTCTGAACTCCACTGCTCCAACCACCACAAATTACAGACTCCATCAGGAGATCAACAATTTATCTGTCACAGAAAAGTGGCATCTTACTGCTAAAGGCAGACTTGTCAGATCAGCACTGAAAAACCTGTCCTTCTGCTCCCTGTGCTGCACCTGCTCTGTGGATAATGAGAGAACTTCAGGCTCCAGGACTGTCAGACTGACATCTTTGACAAGGTCTGAATCCTGTGGCAGTGAGGGAATTGTCTGGGTTTGGATTTATTTTATTTTTTATTTAAGGAAATGCTTCTGGCTACAATTGACTGTCCAGCCTCACAAACAGTGCCTTGTCCTTACCTGTAATTTCTGCTCCTCAGAGATGACACAGGCTGCCTGGGATGCACTTGTACATGCGCTGGATATTTTGCTGACTTTCTCCTAGCATTAAAATCCTTTGCCTCAGCCAGTGCAACAGATTTTGCCCCAGAAATGACAAACGTCACCTTGTGCCGTTGATGTGCAGCCAGCACATCACCACAAAGGTTTTCTCCCTAAACCCATGACTTTGCCATTTCACTCTCTCCATACAACCTTTCAGCATCTCTGCTGCGTCAGCCAGAGGTCATATGTGCCTTCCTCCTCTTCAACCCCCTTTTCCTCCTCCCTCCCTCACCACAAGCAGGTCCTGGGGAAATGCTCAGCCTGCTACCTCTCATGAATCTCAACATTTTTGCTCTCTCTTTAAGGTCTCTTGTCTGTGGATATTAAAATTGCAGGTTTTGAGGAAAGGGACTGTCTCTTTGTTCTGTATTTGTGTAACACACAGTGACACAGAAATGCCTCCTGTTTCTTGCTGCTTTGGTAATACAAATTAAACAAGAGTAGTGACACGGCTGCCTAATTACCCTGCTTTCTTCCCTGCATCAGCAGCAATTTCAATCAGTTGAATTTTGCAGTGATGGAGTTAAGAGTAGGCACCATACTAAGTCTATGTTTTTTTGCCCTCTGGTGACTGAGAGCTTCTGGGCATGGGTCCTTAAATACCTAATTGCATTCTGAAGTCAAAATCTGGAGTTGTCTGCTCCTTCTCCAGTTCCTTAGAGTGACTGGGGGATATTTCCCTTCCCCTTCTTTGACTTATTTTTCCCAGAAGAGTGTTGACCTAATTTTCCTGCTACAGCCTTCTAGAAGGAAGCTCTGTGTCTCTCCCCCTTCACTCTCCCACTGGGGTAGGCAACTCCTGCTGCTGCCACCAGCCGTGTCCTAGGCAAAGGCCACTCATGTGTCGCAGTCCTAGCAATGGCTGAGCTGCCCTGCTACAGCTATTAGATGTTCTGCCACATTACACTTTTAAAAATGTGCAACTTCTGCTTTGATCTTGGCAGCCTGAGACAGTGATTTAAATGCCTCCTACCTCCTTTCCTGAGTCAACGCTTCAGCATCACTGCTAAGAAGCACAGCTGGCTGACAGCTCTTCGGGAGTCAGTCTCCTGAAACGAGTCCCAGAGAGAGGGAAATATGGCATCATGCCCTGCTTGCTTTTAAGAGCTGAAACACACAGGAGCTCAAATGACTATTTCTTCAAATTTTTCCTTTTAAAAATGATCAACATTCTGAATATGGTAAGAGTAGTTGATGCTGTTCTGACCCAAACAGTTACCTTCCAGCCAGAACCAGATCTCCTGTGCTGTTTGCTGGACTTTTTTGTGTGGTAGGCATTTGGGTTCAGGTACTCCCCTGTTGCAATGTGGATGAGGGGGTCTGTGGTTCTTCCTGAGGCAGCCCTCCTAAATGAGTTTCTCCCTTCAAGGAGCTCAACAGCTCCCCAGAGGAGAAGTCTGCACCAGTACTGAACAAAACATCAATCGCCATTCAGCTCAAAGCTCTCATGTAAACCGTGCCTTTTCAGAGGCACATTCAACCTTAATTTTTATTGCTTCTAGCTGAAACTGAAGTAAAAGAGTCCATGAATCAGCAAACTAATTGCCTTTTGTATTAGCTGGGGATGTTCAGTATAAGTGCATAACTAAGTAAATATTGAGATTAGTGCTCTCAGGAGTAGGTACTTTCAGCAGATGTTTTGGATAGAACTTGCATGTGAATTGATTCCAAGAAAGGTATATTAGAGAGGAAGCATATGTAATATGAAGGAGACTGCAGTTAAGGAGTATTTTAAGAATCAAGACCAAAAGAATCTACGTGGCCACGAAACATTTGACCTCTCAAATACCTTTAATAAGGAGACCCCTATTCTTACAGAAAATTCCTACAGAGCTGTCTTTCTTTCATTTTAAATTCTTTGTTATCTTTTTTAAACAAAAGTTTATTTAGGCCAGGAAGTTGTTTCTTCTGAGATTTCAGAAATGGCACTAAAATCACTACACAGTTGATGTGGAGGCCGATGCACAGTGCTAGGCAGCAGCAGTACTGAGCAGCTGTATGGACAGCTTCTCCAACAGACTCAGAACACAGATGCAGAAAAGGCCATCCTTGAACCTTCAGGTGGGAATCTGGCCTGCAAAGGAAAACATCCACGCTTACTGATGGATATGAAAATTAACAGAGGTCTTGGCCCAGTGGCTTCCTTGTGGCATGGCAAAATCTCTGATGAAACCAGACTAAATATTATTTCCATTTTGTAATGCAATGAGCTTTGCCTAGGAGAACCCAGGCTGCGATACTAGCTTTTCAGTTTTAGGTAAAATTTACATTCTTAGAAATATAGGAGTTGCCACACAGAACTAAACCAAAATTCTGTGTCATCCATTGGTTTGTCCCTGACAATAGCCAGGAAGCAATATATCCCTAAGAGGTATAAGTACAGCATAATGTCTCCTACTAGGTCAGCAGGAACCCTTTTTTGCACAAGCAGTCATTTAGTGCCTGACAAGGCTTGCTAGGCACCTTTTTCAAGGAACATTCTCTGAATTGCAGCAATTTACCTGACTAGACTTTTCATTATGTAGTAAGTTTGCCATGCATATGTGTGCTGCGCATTTTTTAAAAGCTGCATATTTTACAGCTACAGCTCATAATTTGACAAGGCTTTTAGCTTGGTCAAATGACACCAATTCCCCACAAAACAAGCATAGTTGCTTCCTTTCAGCAAAGACTGTTTCCCTGACAAATTCCACTCACAGCCTCAAGCCTTTTCACTCATCTCATATAATTTCATATACAGCCACTTAAAACTTGGGCTCCTTTTAAATCACACTGAACTTGAAAATGCCTCATCAATTTTGCCTGTCTCTCTTGCTCCCCCCACCTCAGGGCAGAAAATAAATATTTGAGTCATTTTTACTTTTACTTACCTGATTCTGCAGAGGAACACTTGCATAAGCCCTTAGCAATGCTCCACTCAGTTCTTAACAGGGGTTTCTAGAAATAGAAGCATTTGAAAATTTTCAGTAACCAAAAAACAAGGTCAAAACTAAGCTTTAGCTTTAACAAATGGGGTTAACACCCCTCTCTTAATTGATGGAAGACTCAGAGATGTGAATTGGAAGGTAGACAAATAAATGGGCAAGTGTGATATGTTGTGGTTGTTTGTTATGCCTTAATGAAGATAAATCAATGCACCCTTCATGAAAGATGACTACTTACCCTGGGAGATTCATCTGTTACTTGCACTGATAGTCTATGACTCTGATTCTTGCTATTGCAAGCTTGATTTGCTGAAAATAAAGGTATTTTGAAAGTCAGGAAAATTAGACTTACTTTTATGATGATGTTGAATCAAATTGACTGACAGAACTATGAAAGCTTTGAAATTAAGACTGTAGGGACACACTAACATAATGTACGTAAATCTTACTGTAAATCTTCTTTGCATTTGACTGTTTTTTGAAGATCATAAAAATAAATTATATGTGGTCCATTACGTAACAAATTGATTCCACCTAATTCTTTGTCCAAAAGCCATCCCAAAGAGAGATTGAGCCAGCAGTGTCTGAGCCATCGCCTTCTAGAGCTTATCAAGGCCATGATTAAGCATGGTGTTTATTCATCCTTTTTAAGGCAGAATAATAAATCAGAGAGTGTCATCTTCATTTGAGTAAATCTTCCAGTCACTTCAACTTGAGATTGCTTTAAAAAAAAATTGCCAAATGTAAGCCTGGGACAAAACAACCTACCAACCCCAGAAAAGTTACATAGCATAAGTAAGGAAGTCATACATCATAAAAACTACTGTTCTTAAGTGCTCAATGGCTTTTTTTCCACCAAGTAGATACTTTGCAGTACAGACTAGTGGGGAAGAACACTTGGATCACGCTGATTAAAATGCAAAACTCTTGTATACAGGTTGATTTTTGTTGAGCCAAGCCCTGTGGCCGTGAAGCCTCTGCACCATTGTGATTTAGAGCGGCTGCAGATCTGAACAGATTGTTTCTGTATCCTTACTGCATATCAATATCAATTTAACTTAGGAGCTTCTATTCATTCCCCAAAAAGGAAAAAAAAAAAACAAAAGCAGCACACCACTACCCTTGGGAACAAAGTGGTTCCTCCCCTTACAGATCTTCCTAATGAAATATCTAATCTAAAAGAAATATATTCTGACATTTTTTTCCACAGCAGGAGCTGACTGAAAACTTGTCTCAAGAATGGCAAAGATAAGAATTGTCCAAGTGTAGGTAAACCAAACACCTGTGCAGGAAATCTGTTGCATTTGTCCTGTTCTCCTGTCTGTGTTCAAAGGACTGCTCCACCCACCATAACATCTTTGCTGAGAGAGAAGCTGGATGAAAAGTAAATAGAAGTTTGCTTCTACAGAAGTTTCTTTGAAGTTGTTGAGGAACCTTGAGCATGATGATTATGCAGTGTGAGGTACAAAGTACATTCTTTATAACAGACTTTATGGTCAAGTACAGCTGTCTAGTCAGAGAACCCAACCAGCAGGAGCCTTTGATCAAAGAAGATGCATGTGTACTGAGAAAATCCTTGCAATCAAATACCAGCAAGTTGTATATGATCCTGTGCTGGTTCGGGCTGGAATAAAGCTAATTTTCTTCACAGCAGCTAGTATGGGATTGTTTTAGATTTGTGCTGCAAACAGTGTTGATAACTCAGGGATGTTTCATCTGTTGCTGAGCAGTAATTGCACAGTCAAGGCTTTTTCTGCCTCTCACCCCATCAGTGATCAGACTGAGGGTGCACAAGGAGTTTGGAGGGACACAGCCAAGACAGCTGACCCCAAGTGACCATAGGGATATCCCAAACCATAGGGCATCATACTTGGCATATAAAGTTGGGAGAAGTAAAAAGGAAGGGGGAATGTTTGGAATAATGCTGTTTTTCTTCCCGAGTCACTGTTGCAGATAATGGAAGGCTGTCTCACCTTTTCTGTGGTTTCTGATTCTCTCCCTCATGCCACCAGGGCACTGAGTGAGTGGTTGTGAGTGGCTGAGCTGCTGACTGGGGTCAAACCACATCAGACTCCCACCACTGTGTTTCGTAGCCAGCAGCACAAATAAAACTGTTTCTAAAAGACCACACACTTCTGTTATTCTTTTATTAACCAAAAAAAGTTATTGGTTATTCCTGATCTATGACGTTTGCTAATCCCAGCAAATTCTCTGCAAGCAGCTGTCAAAAGACCATCTGAATCCCAGCATCAAACAGAAAAGTACTGAGGCATTGAAGAGATGTAACTCACAACATCCTCCATACCCATAATGACAAAATGGAAAAATGAAAGCTTTTTATGCTAGGAAAAATTGTTTATGCTGCCTTTAAAAACTGAATGAATGGAAGTCTAGGCTCACCTAGCTAATAAAAAGTTTCTATAGGTTTTCCTTTTATCCTGTGTTCTATTTCATTGAATGTGTGTGAGCTTGGATTGCCTGGCATTTGATGGAACATCTTCATTTCCTGTTTGATGATAAACATAGAGCTAGTGAAAATTTTTTTTTTTTGTTAAAAACTAACAAAAAATCCACAAACATATATTTGAACATTTTTCCAGAATCTCAATCACTTTATTCATCCAATTTAGAGCATAAACATACATTTATCTCAGCTATCTGAACAAAATTCAGAAGAGGGATTACCTTGCCTCCAGATGACAGGTACATGTTGATGGGTTTGAGAGGAGGTAGGAACTTCTTAGACATCTTTATCACCAGAAAAGTCATTGCATCAAATGCCTCCTTACTGTTAACACTTATAGCTAATGTGATTAGACTTCCTTAACCTTCAAGTGAACTTGTCACAAGAACAGAATAAAGACAAAGAAAAGCAATGTGAAATATAATGGAGCTACTTTTGTTTAAACTGCTGTTCTATTCTCAGGAAAGATTTGATAAATTGATGTGTGCTAATAACTATGCTGGAAGAACTGGAAAAAAGAAAACCTGCCTTTTTAATTATTGGGTTTTTTGTTAGCCATAGGTGCATTTGGTCATGCCTTTTCAGGAACAGGGCAATACAGCCTGTTCTGTTTCTGCACCAAGAGGTAACTTGATATTCGTGATTGTTAGGCATCATTCAAACTGGCAAAGTGAGAGATAAGTTTGGTTTTGTTACTGCATTTGCTCAGCCATGAAAAAGTGTCACAAAGGTATTTTAACCTCAGTTTCAATGTGATTTTAGAGAAACTGGGTTGTCTGTTTTGGAAGCAAGTATGTACTGCTAATGCATCTTTTACAACTAGGATAATGCTGTAGGTAATTAAGTCAAAGAGTCACTTGTTGTACAATCTAATTGATAACATCCTTTTCACTATTGACTTAATCCTGTGCAGATGAAGTTAAGAAGAAGGCCCAGTTGCAATATTAAGGCTCCAATTCACTTTGAACTTTTGGTAACCCTCAATGAAATCTAATTGAAATTTTCAAATGTGTATTCCACTCACACAGTAAATGCACTTTGTGCTGCTGTCGAGATAACTCCAGCATTGTTTTTAAATGCTCATTTAGACTAATGTAGGGATAGCAATTATTTTAAATTCCTGACCCATTTCAGCCTGTTTTTCTCTGGAGGCAGTCTTGCATAACCAGCCTAGATGGGATTCAACCCACCTAGCTGCAGGTATCCTTAAACACATATCTGTGTTATAATTGGTCGTAATTTCTGTGAAATCAGCCTACTTAGCAAAGGAGAAAATCCTGTAATTGTAAAAAGCAAGAGAAAGGCTACTGCCAGAGTTCCTCCATTTGCAGGCCTCAGAGAAACCACATAGATGTAATTTGGCAAAAGTCCCCGGTGAGCAGGGGCAACTAGGCTCCCAGACTGGGCATCTGGACATACGGACATATGGATATACGGACATAAATCTTCAGCAACTAAGATGAGAGTAAACTTAGCCTTGGAAGACTTAGCTTTACAATACAAATGTTTGCACCTGAATTAACCTTGAGACTCCCTTTTTCATGAAAAGGAATTAAGAAATTCAGGATGCTGCTTATCTATAACAAAAGGATGATTCAGTTTCTGGGCTCCCAGGTTACCTAGATGGTCTTACCTGAAGACAGAACTGTTATTCAAAAATCTTACAAAGCATTTGCAAGACATTATGAAAGTAAAGAATGAGGAGTGAATGAAAAGAGTAAGAGAAGAAGAGTGAGACAAAACTCAAGTAAAAGAATAAATATTTCTATTTACTTCCAGAAAATCCTATGAATGTTTGGGAACAAATACTGGATAAATTCCCAGGAAATGCATACTAGTTAGGAAAGAGATAGGAGAATCAGAACTGATATTCACCCTAGCTATGGAAGGTTTTCTAGACCCATTGCAGGGAAGGCAGCACAGATGCTAGGCTGGGGATAGGCTTGGGGCCCATCATTTCAGCACCATCACATCTCATATTGGCTGATCTTGACACTGCACTTTCAAACCACTGTCCAAAGAAGAGATGAGCTGACTTCTTCAGAGCCTCTTTCCCTCTAATGACAGCAAAAGGAGTCTATAATTTATGCATTAAACCCATAGATGGTGAAGATTAGTTGAAGAAATTGCATCCAGATTTAATCAAAATGAAGATACTCTGAGAGCGACAACCAGTGCTGTCAGCATGTTTCACCGGGGAAGTTCACCTTTCCACAGGGAGGGACAACAGTGCTGTCAGCATGTTTCACCGGGGAAGTTCACCTTTCCACAGGGAGGGACAAAATGAATGCTCCAAGGAACATTCTTTACCTGCTCTAAAGAATTAACTTTTTTTTCTTTTCTGCAGTGGGACACCTCTGTGGTTTGCTCAGCAGCAGCTTTCAGGGAAGGTATGCAGTGGTACTCAGCTCTCCAGGCCAACTACAAATTCCCAGTCAACAGTCTAACATTATACTTGTGGATTGCACACACACTGAAGTCTCACAAGTAAAATATTCCCATTCGCTAAAACATTCATTTTTTTGATAATTATAATCTGATTAATAGAAAATTTGCTTCAGCCATCACTAGTTACAACTACAGAGGAATTTTTTAGCATTAGATTTGGGCATGCAGACTGAAGAAACAGTGTATCTCCATAAGCTCTGGCTGGTCTGTCATGGAAGCAAATTAGATCTGCAATTAGATCTTTCATAAGAAATCTGACAACAATGATACAGTAATTTATGCACCTTAAAAATTTCTGAAGCACCTTGCTCAGATGGGGCGAGATGGAGATCGGATGGAATATTTTCAGATGGATTCTTACCTCACTTATTCCCCTTTCTCAACTCCACCACCTTGG